TACTTGCAGATAAGTCCATCTGCAGATAAACTGAGCCCAATTTTGAGGCGCATTTTGGCATCTAAAATTCTTGGCTTATCCACAAGTATATACGGTACCTATTTAAAATCTTTGAGATGAATTTGGCTCCTGGTGATTATTCAATGGACATATCGTCGTGTTTTCTTGGCAATGAATATGGTTTGGTATTGTTTTCTTTTCAAGATTTCTTTTAGAAAACTTCCCAGTCTAGTCAGTTGATCAGCTAAGGCCATCTTGGTGCTGGAACCTGCTGAGACGCTACCTTTATTTGGACAGACCGAACTGCTACAAAAGAGTGGGCCACCACTGACTGCCCTATCTGGGCTGCGAAAATCTAAATAACCACTAGGTGGAAGCAAACAGACACAGAAAATGATCTTTGCTGCCATCAAGACGTTCTCTGGATGTTTGCAGCCCAAGTGTGATAGCCCTAAATTCCTTGGAACTTTTCATCAGGTGAGATGGCACAAACAAGCAAGGTATGGAGAGAAAAAAATGTACTAAAATTAAGCCAGATTAGGCAAGATGTGTATTACAGACTTGCTCATAAAATGGAGATTGCAAACTGGAAAAGAAGATAAAATCATAGACTTACGGAGTGGGAAAGGACAGCAAGGTTCATCTGGTTCACATCTCTGCAGTGTGCAAGAAACCCTATTAAACCATCCATGAGAAGTGGCTGTCCAATTTCTTCTAAAAAACCTCCAGAGATGGAGAACCCAGATTGCAGGTATCAAGTTACTCCTACAATTTTGGAACAAAGAGGTTCTGGTTGACCCTTGCTTTCTAAAACCAAAAGGCCAATGTCTGTTCTTCAGATTTAGGCAGCTCATGCTTTGAATAGTTCTTCAGTGTAGTTCCCTATCCCCATCAACTTCACCAGGTTGGGTAGGCTGAAGGAAGCAGGACTAGCTAAAGTTCTCACACCAAAGAAACAGCAGATGCCTACACTGGCTACATCTCTAAGCCAAGGGTCTTTGCCACCAGATGACCCTCCTCAAATGTTCTCCTGTGGCCCTCCTGAGAAATGCGGAAGGTTGTCAGGCCTCCCCTGGAGAATCCTCAGTTTCTTTCCCCATGAAAGGCATATTCAGAGGGTGCTATTTGTGCATGACGTGCTGACATGCCCCGTCCATAAAAACCTCACTGTTCTTCTCTTGCCCTCCAGTTCTTCCTCTCTCCCTCCCCTCCCCTCTGCCATCCAGCATTTTTGTTGGGTGACCTGATGCCCAGAGAGGCAGCCAGAGACACAATGGAGACCAGAATGCTGGGCCAAGATGGCCTTGAAGAAACAGAGAGAGAGAGATGGGGTGGGTGACTTCTAGGAAAATCTCCACTGAGGACCTTAGAAGTTTCCTTGAATGGAGTCGCTGTGCCTTCCCAGAAAGCAGAAAAGCCACATGGAGGCTGGCAGTTTGGAAAGGGTAGTTTCAGGGGCACAAGAGGTGGGGAGGGAGGGTTATGTTAGAGAAAGACCCTTCTCTCATCTCTTCTGTGAGGTCAAAGAAAATGGGAATTGTGTGTGTGCCGGGGTTCATGTACATTACGTTCTGCTTCAGGGCCAGGGCAAACTTATCTTCTAGCAATGACCAGTACCAAAAAGCCATTGGAACCTGTCCTAGCAACCTGGCCAAATCCCGCCAGGGAATATTGAGCAGAAGTATTATAGCCCCAGGGTGACAAGGCTCACACAGGACCTAAACTGGGATCGTCATCTGAAATGGGAATGTCCAGCCACCCTAAACTGGAGGCTTTCCAGATCTGAGGGCAGGAACTGGGCAGGTGGCATGATCAGTCCTGACGTAACTGTTAGGGAGCTCTTTCAGCATGGCAGAAGGGGATGGGCCAGTCCTGGGCCTGACAACCACATTCCTCAGTCCCCTAAGGACGAAATATCATTGAGTGCTGTATCCTCAGATGGCTCTCAAGAGTGGGGAAATCAAGGGATATGCAGGAATGAGAGCTGGGTGGGGGGGCGTTCTTTAGACCCACATTATGGAACTGACTAGTCAATTGTGAAGAAGAACAACCAAGGTTATCTGGAGCTGCCACATCCTCAGAAGAAAAAGTCCTCGCTCCTAAACACACTGAGAGATTGGTGGGACCCAGGATGACCCTTCAAAAGAGATGATTGCAAATGTGCTGATCTGACTCCTGCCTTGTGGACAACTCAAAGCACAAACATGTGTGTGTGAACTACCAAGAAGGCAGTGCCAGGAGGACATTCTCAAGGAGGTCCGAACCAAGACCTTCCTTGTCCTCGGAGACGTGATTTGTGTAACAGCAGGGAGCACACAGAATGGGTCCTAATCCACTCCTCTGTTTCCACGTTGCCCAACAACTGGAGCAGGATCCACACCGGAGTCCCTTCCTTGTATGAGGCGGCACATCGACTGGCATTTCTTCCAAAGCCAATTGCTGCCCAGAAGCTGTTTCTCCTCCCAGGCTTAAATTTGGAGCCATGAAAGTGAGCTCTGTCTCACCAAGTGCTTGGTGCCAAGGAAACAGCAGGCCTCGCCCCAGCTCAGCCAGGGGCTTCGGGCCAAGGAGGTGATGCCCTCCCCCTCGGGGATTTGATCGGAAGGGTCAAGGGGGAAGTTGCACCAGCCTCCAAAGCCGCTGCGTGGAACCGCTTCCCAGGACGTGTCAGTCTTCAACACCTAAAGCACGAGCAGGCGTGCCTGTCGGTACAAGTGTGTCCACAGGGTGTGGTCAAGAAGGTCAACAGGGTGGCACAATGGTGAGACTGAAGCTCTGCCCGTTTTTTACGTGCGATGTCCATAATATTGCAAAAGCAGGAGTAGATACAGTCTGGGTGGCAGAAAGTTCAAGTTTTTACCACTCATCTTTTGAAAATCCATTAATTGTCTAAGAAAGCGCAGAGCGGTGCAGAAACGAATGCTAAAAATGGCGGGTTTGTTCACAGAGCATCCTTCTTCAAGCCACCTCTGATCTGGTGCAACCTGATGATTCTGTCCCGTGACTCCAGTCAATTTCCTCGTAGCCAGTTTCGCAGCTGAATTAAGACAAGCCTCCGTACGCTTTTCCTGCTGCCCAGCTTTCCCTCCGAATGTATTTTAAATTTATAAGCTGCTGAATACAACAGACTCGCTGCTTAGTAGCCGCGACAGCAACTGCGACTATAAATATTAAAACACCTTCTGTAACGTCATCCAAATAAGTCAAACCAAAACCGAGTCCCGAAATCGACTCTGATCAAGAACTTCAAGTGTCTGAACGGCTGGCTCTTCCGTGGCGTTCCAGGAAGGGGCGACTTGTTGGGGGCAAGATCTGCCCCTCTGCCCCCCCATCTTTGAGCCCGTCTCAGACATCCCTCCAGCCAGCAAGCGTCTGGGGCCGCAGCTCTGAATCCCACTGCCTTTGGCATCACCCAGAAGCTGTAACTGCATGAAAGACTCCGCATAAATAATCAGCTGGAAAAGGATTTGAGGAAGACACCATCGGGGGACAGGTTGCAATTTGCAAGCTGTCTTGAGTGACATCATGTCTGTGTAAATCGGGCCGTGATGGAGTCGAGGAAGGCAGGAATACCTGCGTTGTGGAGTTTCCTTAGTATAGGGAAAGATCTACACGCCGCGAATATATTTCATTTTGCTGTAAAGCTGCCTGGTCTGTCCGGTTGATCTGTTCTAGATCCTGGCTGACAACTATATTGTTGTATTCATCGTAATTCCAGTTCCCTAATTGTACGTCATTAGCCAATGTCATTAGCCTTTTCTTGAATCGAACCCTAGTAAAAGCAGCATCTAAGTATGGTAGCTGGTCTGTTGTAATTTGTGCCAGTCCAAATTCTGTTGTAATTTGACAATCTAAATTCTAAATCTTCATGGTGTTGCACCCTTATTCGTACCATGCCCACTTCTCCCAAACCTTTGCGACCTCCCTCTGCAAACCATGGAATTTGGTCATCTTTTTCGATTCCTTGTCTTCGACGTTGCCGTGTCTTTGAACGGCCGCACCAGCACACCCACGGCGGTTCTTTTCAATCACAGCAATGTCTGGTGTGATTTGTTCCAGGTGTCGATCCATCTGAACTTTAAAATCCCATAAAAGTTTCGCTCTGTCACCTTCAGTGACTTTATCTGGGGCTTCAGGGACACCCCCGCATTATAAATGGCTCCATAATATCCACCTAACAAGCACGCCTGGCGCAATCTTCGCACGCGGCCAATTTAGTCCCAGGAGAAGCTGCCTGGGAGATGTCTCGTGGAAGCTGCCCCGTCAGTCCAGGGTGACCGGGCAGGTGGCATCACGTTGCCACGCCGCACTGCTGCAGCTTCCCAGGGCGAGCAGGGCCTGCAGAACCGCCAGCTGCTTTCCCACCCTTGTGAGCTCTGCTGCCGCGGTTTGGGCATTTTCTCATCAGAAAGACGTTTTCTTCACTGTCTCTGGTGGGGGCCCAAGGGTGGGAAAGGGTTTCCTTTCCCTTCCTGCCCCCTTTCTTGGCGGTACCCATGTTTCCCCATGGCTCGACAGCCATGCTTTCTGGGCAAAGGAGATTCCTCCTGACGGAAAAAAAATCACCCAGCTTCTCCCCACCCCCACCCCCACCCAT